CAAGAGTGTCCCACAAGAGTGTCCCAAATGAATGTCCCACAGGAGTGTCCCGCAACAGTGTCCCGCAAGAGTGTCTTACAAGAGTGTCCCTTAAGAATGTCGTATAAGAGTGTCCCGCAATAGTGTCCTACAAGAGTGTCCCACAAGAGCTTCCTACGACAGTGTCCCACAAAAGTGCCCTACAAGAGTGTCCCACAAGAGTGTCCTACAGAGTATCCCACAAGAGTATCCTACAAGAGTGTCCCATAAGAGTTTCTTACTAGAGTGTCCCACAAGAGTGTCCTACAAAAGTGTCCCACAAGAGTGTCCCACAAGAGTGTCCCGTAAAAGTGTTCCACAAGAGTGTCCTATAAGAATATCCCGTAAGAGTATCCTACAAGAGTGTCTTACAAGAGTGACCCATAAGAATATCCCACAAGAGTATCCTACAAGAGTGTCATTTGGACACATGTAGCTTTTTGAACGTATTTGTATTCGGGTTCGTGGGCTCCATCTTGTTTATTTTTTTCGATTTAAAATATATTGTTTGAAAATATATTAATTAATGAATTGAAATTTATATATTTCTATATATAATTCTGATAATATATATAGGCTAGCAATTTGGCTAGGTATAGTCTTGACAATGATATAATGATTTGTAATTGATTTGACGGGTTGTGTAGATGAATGGAAATATTCAATTTTTCCGAAGAAAAGAAAATATTAATGAATAAAATTTCATGCATATATCGATTAAATTTAGATTCGCAGCTTGAAATCTTAATATTCTCCGAGTTATATTACCTTGTGTTGTAGTTGGCGCAATTGGTACGAGGATTGGGTTGAATTGTTCTTGATTTTATTTGGCACAATTGTCGTATAGATGTTGCAAGTGATCTTGAATAGTTGGGGAAATCTTCAATTATTTATTGATAAAAAATTACAAGATATCTTTGCATATTTTATGATATTAAATAGATATGGTTGCAGGATCATATTTCGTGATGAGATCGCGAAAGATTTTTATATTTTTTTGTTTTTTTTCTCCGCGATGAATGGTCATGCCAGGAAAAGAGATATTGATCATCCATTCTATATATTATTTAAATATATGTTTTGAAAATATTAAAATTCTATATTCATATATTAAAAAAATAGATTAAATTATATCGCGATTTTATTAGGATTTACCGAAATTATATTAATATTGAACAATCTATAGACGTCTTTTCTTAATTATAAACATCTATATACAATTTGGATAGACCGCTAGCTATTGTAAAATTTGTTATATTCATTACATATATATAAAACTAATAGATCTCTCCTAATTATTCGAATCAATAAAATCTTCAAAATTATTTAAATTTTAATTTTCCCCCAATAATTTCATTAATCTATAGAAATATTAAGTAAATTCCTATCGATTTTACAATCAAATTATTTTTTGAAATATCAAAATTCTATCAAAATTACCGAATATTCATAAATATAATTATGTATTTTGTATATATATAACTTAATTCTTTCGGATTAATGGAAAAATAATAGATATATAAAAATGATTTAATAATTCAATATATTTTTGCAAATTGGGTGGATATTTTTTTATCGTAGTCGGGTCGGGAAATTTAAATAGGTGATATGATTCGAGGACATAATTCGGCATATAATTCCGATATATAATGCGAGGTTATAATTCGCAGATGATTCGCAATTTTGAAGTTGTATTGATGGATGCATTCGATTTCCAATAGTGGGCCCACTCTGCGCCGAGACAATAGGCAAGCAACATCTATTGAATACTTGGCAGAGTAGGCAAATGCATTCTTCCACCAAAGATTCCAGTGGCCCTCCACAAGCCCCACCAAAACAATCAAGATGTGAGATGGGTAGGAAATTGTATAGAAGTGGGTAATTCGGATATGAATGGGGCATAAATTAGGAATAATTTATCTAGGCATTAAATTCTATTTATATAAAAAACTATTCTTTGGCTCTTCTTCCCAAAAGAAAATATATAAAAATATTCTAAATATCCCTAAAATATAAATCTTTGTTTTTACCTGCCCTGCATTTAACAATGTCAAATCATCACTTCCCTTATTTTTGACATGTTTAAATCTCCCTATGAATTGGGGAGAAGGCTGGGATATCTGGCTTGAATCCCCCAAACATAGGGCACCCCGTGAAGTCACAGCTTTCTGTCTTTAGGACCTGTTATGATTCGGTAGGCTATTCTTTAATACCATTCGTACAAAATTACAGCAGCAATATTATTATTGAATCTCTGTCTACACATTCAAGTAAGGATATGATTCTCTAGAACATGTGGAAAATCAAGTCTCTGACCACTGTTTGGATTTTCGGCGGATGCATATTTTTTTCTTGCTGGTCACCCTGATTAAAAATATGTATTTTCAAAATGTAGCTACATTTAGGGAAATCAATGCAGTAAGGGGAGGGCATGCCATATCTCCCGCTTAGGGAGGTCGGTACCGACCTCAGTAAGCCCATGGCTCTCAATCAATGGGGCAAGATTTTTGCATTGATTTAAGCATCCCTAAATTATTTTCACCTGCACTTAAGGAAATCACATGGAGGCTTACTACAGTCGGTAGCGCTACCGACTACATTAAGAGGAGGGTATATCAAGCCCTGTCACTACTAAGGGGATTTCCTTAAGTGCAAGTATAAAATTTTTTGAATAGGTGAATTATTTTCAATTCTAAGTTCGAATTGGGGGAGATGGTCCATTATCAAAAGGGAGTAGGTAAAGCCTAGTTACCTAATCGATTATTCATTTAACAACCAGAAGTGAGCTTTATAACTACAAGACCATTTAGTTGCATAACAAATCTCCGGTTTGGTTACATAAGGGTCTCCTTTGTTTCACCCTTGTCCCATAGGCAAATTAATTAACCTTTCCTATTCGAATTTTAATGTTATTTTTCAATTTTATTAAATTCATTATAAAATATTTCCGAATTACGATCCCAACAATAATTACTTTTAAATACAATAATAGAATTTTTAACATTTTTATATATGTCCCAATTATAAATATATTTATTATAATATATAAATTCAAAGAAATATATTTTTATTTTAACTAAAAATTACATTATTTTATATACTTAATAATATAATATAATCATAAATTATTTTTACATTAATATATCTATATTAAATTTTCATGTAGGAGCATTCGATAGACTAACGAAAATATTTAACCAATAATTACGTCCAATCATCGTTAGACCTAGGATGATAAAATGATCTTTTCCAAATTTAAGCCAACCTTATCTAAGGTACCAGCCCAAAAAAATAACAATTTTATTTCAATTCTTCATAAAAATGATGTTCCCAAGGTAAGCGATCATTGTCAAATAACCAAATATTTCTATTCGTTAGGAGACAGACTTAGTAATGGCCGGCATCAGGAACCGGCCCTAAGTATGTGGTCATGCCACGATACGATATCGGGTCCAATACATTGTCAGGCCATGTGGAGCAGCATATACAGGCAAAAGGATTTCAATTGTTGGAAAATCAATCAGGACCTCTTGCGGTGCAAAACACAATCTTTTTGGTCAATTTTGGACTCAAAAAGGGGAGCTGACACAAAGGTGGACGTGGATTTCGAATAAAGGATCAACCAAATTGATCCTATTCTTCTCAAGACTTTATTTAGCCTTGACTATCCAAAAAGCTCTCCGACAACTTTGTCGGCATCTCATCTCAAGCGAGGGATGAGGATTTGCAGAATTGGACTTTTGGGACCTTTTAGTGGAAACCGACGCTCTGCAACGACGAACTCGACAAAAATAAGCACTTGTTGCAAGCAAAAACGAGGTATCCGACAGGCACTGGGACTGTGGGGCGCATGGGAGCGGAGACTGCCAATTCATATATCCAATTCTGCAGAGATGGGAGTCCAGAAGAGGGCGAAGTCCCTGCCGCAGTGGATGTTTTGAAATGCTTTGTCTTTGTTTTGCTCCTTTTTCTATTGACCACTAGCTGGGCAAAGGCCTTGCCACATTAAGCTTGTTCGATTTTCCGAAGAAGGGAGCAATCTGCTGTCAAGACCTTGGATCGACTCTCGAGCATCACGTGTTCAAACGCGCCGCGTTTTAGTCTGAGAGCGTTGGCTTCTGTATTGCAAGGTATATACATAGTGTATATATATAGCGCATATATACATATATACTGTACTTATAACTAGCTATATGTCAATCTATTATATCTATTACATATTTTTTGTTGGCGAAGATGAGAAAAATTACCTGGCCAGGTGCAACACAACTGTTTTCCAAGATCGTCCATGTCAATGAAGTGATTGACGATGGACGAAACACACATGCACGCCTTCTGGCAATGCGGGTTCCTTTTCCATATTTCCAGGAGCTTCCGACCCATTTGAAGTCCCTCTTTGGTCCTGAGACATCCAAGATGGAGAGGGAGAAAGAACCCCCTGACCTTCCTCTGCCGGGCTTGGACACACACAGGCGATGACAGTTTAAAAAAGTCAGACAATTCTCAGCCGTCCACTCTCGCGCTTTCGCTGCCGTTTCCAGTCAGGTTGCCTGCTCGAAGTGCAAACAGCAGAAACCCATATACAGTATATTACATATACGAGCATACGTATCATAGAGCAAGAAATGTAAAACAACGGACAACGAAGCTCCCTCTCAAGTGCCTTCCCTTATATCATATCTATACCACCAGCACCTGAGCTCCAACTTTTTTCTTTGATACTTTTCTTTTTCATCTGCATAGCGCAAGTCCTTCATGCCACTTCCTGGGCGCGGTTGAGTGGAGCGGAGAGTGGGCAGGACCAAGTCGGAACAAGGGACCCTCGGCGTGGACGGAACTGAGTGGGGCACGCATTCGAAAGGCTCGCCGACCTTGTGAGCACTTCCGGCTAAGCGTCCGCTACAAACAGCACGGGGCTTTTGGGTCTCCAAACGTCATCTCCCAAGGTTAGTCCATTCGCTCAACTGGTTTGGAGCTACTGTAGTAGCTTCTTGCTTCTAGTAGTAAGGCGCCTCGTTACTAGTAACTTCTTGTTACTAGTGTCAGGAGCTACTAGTAGCTCCTTGTTACTAGTGACTCCACTTTTCTCAACCGAAGTTGGTTCCAACCTCGCCTGGCCGATTCCACTGCCACGGAGTATCTCGACCAAAATTCTCCCGACCGTGTCGCATCAGCCTAGCACGCATGGTGAGGTCCAACGGGTGTGAACCAGAGGGAGGGCTACGGAAATGCCTTGAACCAACGCCAAATATCCTTTAAAACCACCGCTAGACCGAATGGTCAACATTGCCCCAGCCTCTTCATTCGTATCTTGGATAGAGTCCCATGCTTGATAATTCGCTGCGACTTTTCGATGACAGCCTAATGCAAAACAAATCCTACCCAAACAAATCAACTGCGATGCAGAATTGCAGGTGAGATAACCGAGCCTGTGTGTTTTTGGCCTGGCGGGCACAGCGAAGAAACAGATTACTAGGCATACTTGAGGCCAGAGGGGGTGAACGAAAGCTAGCCGGGCTTCCGGTGGTCTGCTGCTGGTGCTGCTGCTGCTGGTGCTGTGGTGCTGCTGCTGCCGCTGCTGCGCTGGGCGCTGCTGCGCTGGGTGCTCTGCAGGCGCCGGGTCGTCTGCTGCTGCTGCTGCTGGCGCTGGGTGGTCTGCTGCGGCTGCTGCTGCCGCGGCGTTGGGTATGCTGCTGCTGCTGCTGCCGCTGCTGCGCTGGGCGCTGCAGATGCTTGGTGCGCTGCAGCTGCTTGGTGGTCCCGCTCACCGCGCGCAGGGGGGAGTCGAACCGCGGGGGGGGGGGGG